TGCTTATCACTGTGGCTTCTTGTTCTTGTTGTTATTATTACTATTAAGAATAGTATAGTTACAGAATTATTGGATTACAAAATATGAAAGGAGGCTTGATAATCTGGGAAAAAAAGACCAAATATTATTTCAGTACCCATGCCCTCATAAATAATTGAAATAGGACAGAATTTTCAAAATCAGATTCCAATTATCATAATCTAGGCCATGATGCTAAAGCATGAAAAAAGCATATTTCATCCTTTCACCTAATTCACATGAAATTCAGTCTTTTTGAGAATACGAAGCATTGTGCAGAGGACATGGTATAAATGAAATCGAACTTCTTATTGCAATGAGAGAGTTCATTTCTTATTCTGACAAACTTATAATGTTCGCAATTTGACAAACTTGTAACGTTACATGCCACAAACCAAGAATTTGGATATGTCTCATATACATCTATCCTAAACATAACAATATTTTTAGAGAGAACGTAGAATATTTGCCCTTTTAAGAAGGTACCTATCTAGCCTAATGACTAAACAGTGTGATGGACACATTCAGAAATATCAAAGCCACTATACCTTGGCTTTGGGGAATAAGACTGTGGGTTTTAGGAGGAGCCTTTCTATTCTCCTACTCTTACAATATTCAACAGTACAGTGTCAACAATAGAGACCTTCAATTTCTAAAAGGTTCTAAAATCTCCCAGGATTTAAAATGGACACCTTACATTATAACTATCATTAAAAAGGCACAACAAAGTATGTTCTTCCTGCATCAACTCAGGAAGTTCAGACTACTCTAGAAGCTATTGATACCGTTTTACAGAAAAAATATTGAGTCTGTCATTTGTACTTCTATAACTGTTTGTTTTGATACAGCAACCAAACAGGACAGGTACAAACTTCAATGGATAATTAGGACTGCAGAACAAACAATTGCAACCTGCCTTCCATAGAAGATCTGTTTATTGCACAGGTTAGAAGGAGGACTAAGAAAATATTTATAGACCCCTCACATCCTAAACTATTTCAACTCCTCCACTCAGGATGCCACTATAGAACATTGCATGCAAAACAATGAGACACAGGGACATTTTTTTCCACTCATGCCATTACTCTGCTGAACATCTAATTCTCATAGTACTGTCTAATGTCTATGTATATTTATCCATGTTTTACATCTGTAATGTAATTATTATTATCCTTCTTAACTTTTTACTACCCCCACCTATTGGTATTATTATGATGGTTATTATTATTACTCTATTGCTTTGCATGTACACTGAAAGTTTCTACACTGGAGACGAATTCCTTGAGTGTCTAATCACACTTGGCTAAATATTCTATTCTATTCTATTCTCCCAATGATCTTAGTGGAATTTGTTTCACAACAGGCAAAAAATGGTTGCACAATGAGTCTGATGGCATATAAAAACGCATACATTTTTGTAAACTTTTCTGGGAAAGGAAAACTTCCTGCAAATATATTACAATTCCTCTTTTGTTTTTAAAACATATAGAATAGAATAGAATAGAATAGAATAGAATAGAATAGAATAGAATAGAATAGAATAGAATTCTTTATTGGCCAAATTGTTTGGACACAGAAGGAATTTGTCTCATTGCAAATGCTCTCATATAAACACCACTGATATACAAAATGACAACAAATATCTCAATCCTAAATGGATAATCTTCAATAATATTAACCAATTACCCCTTCCAAAAATGATATTGTGAAAAGCATATTGCTCCTGGCAGAACAAAATTCTTTCCAGTATTTGTAGCTTTTCATACACAATTTGAGACAGCTGGAAAGGAACTTTCATGCCAAACAATTTATCTGAACCAGGAGCTCTAATAAATAACACTACACAAAAGCAGACAAAGACAAACACACTAGAGCTGATGCCCACTACAGCAGAGATAACCTCATTTTAAATCATTCACATAACAAAATTCACAATAAAACTAAAGACCTTTTGTACCTTCTTCTTCAGCCTCAGCACAGAAAACTGTCACCAGAAACTGATGTAGACAAAGATACAGTTAATAAAAAGCAAACATCCAAACCAACTTCAGGCCATACAAATATCTGTCTGAAATCCACTGAAACGTCAGTGGATATTTTGGATTGTGCTCTGGGCAGCTTCTAGACAGGCACAATAAATCTTGCCAAACTGCTTTAGGAAATCTACACCTGAGAGTAAATCCACTGCAGTTTGGCAAAGCAACTTTGGACACATACTCCAAAAGTGAATAGTTTTGTTTATCACCATAAATAAAAATAATATTCAGAAAAACTGCATTCTAATAAGGTTTACTGAATTATTCTTCAGTTTGTACTTTAACTTCAAAATGGTTCTATAACTAAGGTGTATGAAAATTAATAGTATCTGTTTTATGGCTAGCTTCTGGTATTGACTCGAGCTAAAATGTAGACTAAATATGCTCCAAAATGTAGACTAGATGTGCTACAAAGGTTGACCATAACAATCCAAATATGCAGTCACTGGGTACTGTAAATCGAGAAAATATAGTCGTAAAAACTCTTATTAGATCCAAATATCAATAGGCCTGTCTTCAACTCTGAGCGATACTTCTGATCACAGCCTTATCTCATCTGCTGAAATGGATCTGAAGTATAATAATTACAAATCCCTAAATGACTTCCTACAGTAGCTTAAAAATAAAGGAGAAGAACTGTATCACAAATGTCAAAATCCCATTTAACAGAGCTGTGGTAGGAGAATGTAATGATTGATGTTATCTAAAACAACCAAGAGATCCAGGTAAATCATCAGGGCTATGCTCTCCTTTCTTTTTCCAGTACAGATCAGATATAAAGTCAATCAAGCATGAAGCCAGATTGAAATGAGTGCAGAAAATCCCTTTCATCCAAGCACTATTGAAGTTGACCAGTTATCATCTGCTTGACCACCTCACCCAAAAGGCAGTATTAGTCTTTTGGATGAAAATGTCCAAATGGAAGAACCTAGGGAACATTTTTGAGGAAGGGTTACTTTCAAGACTTCTGGTATTAACATCTTATAAAGAGGCATTCACATCCCACTTTCTGAGGCTGCAGCAGCATAAATTAATCTTCCACAATTTGGTCCAGAAGATATTCCAATACGACACATCTTTTCACATATTCTGTAATGTGACCAGTAGTGGTCACAGCAGAATGCAAGGGCAAGGGGAGCAGGTCCGACTAAGAAAAGCAGTGTCACAGTGTCACAATGTAAGCCATATCCCTTTTCGTGTTGCAAAGTTGAATGTACAAAAGGAGCATGATTCTCTGGAAGCCCCTGAATGGCACTTAATTTTCTAATCAATCTGACTTGATTTGAGAATTTGGGAATAGAATAGATATTACATGAATTTTCCAGGAAAAAAAATACATTGTTTGGAGTATTTTTGTATAAAATCAAAAAATGCAACTTTTTTGAACTGAACTGTTTGACCCAAGTATGAAATCCAAAACATAACTGCATTTGGGTTAATTGTAGATCAGCTGACATTTTTAGCCTCCCCTACATGCAATAAACTATTTCTTTTGCAAGCCAGATCAGGTCGAGAAAAGCAAAAAATGAAAAACATATATAATGAACATATATAGTATATATCAGTGGTGGCGAAACTTTTCAGCACCAAGTGGTGAAATGGGAGTGTGGATGCATGCAAGTGCATGTGCCAAAACCTGGAAGAGCAGCTCCCTGGCATGCTGGATGGGAGCGCCGGAAACCGGAAGCTCAGTTTCCCAGCACGCACATGTGCGCTGGCCAACTTGTCTTCCAGTTTCTAATGTGCATGCACACGTGAAGACCAGTTGGCCAGCACGCACATGCGTGCTAGGGAGCTGCTCTTCTGGTTTCTGCACTCCCACACACGTGAGAAGACCAGCTAGCTTGCGCGTATGCACTCATTGGAACCCAGAAGAGCAAGAGGCGACGGCTGGCATGCCTTGAGAAATGGCTCTGCATGCTACGTCTGGCACGTGTGTCATAGGTTCGCCATCAAGGGTATATATAACATACAGCAGTAATGTATAGTAAATATAGTATGTAACAAACATTCAGCAATTGAACTTCCTAATATATAAGCAATTATTTTTTTACTAACAAAAACATTTCTCGCCTATATACGCTCTGAACTATAGCATTTTAGTTCACATATTAGTATAAATTAGTTAAATTGTAATTAAAATATGAACAGATAAAGATGATCATTCACTACTACATAAAGTCCAATATACCACTTAGTATTATCATAGAGGCTAATAATTCCTCTGGATTCCTTTGTCAAACTGTTCAACCAGTTTCAAGCATGGGTGATTAAATTTATCAAAATGCAACTATTTCTTCTATACACAAAGAATCTCTATAATCCAGCAATCTAGAATATCTTCTTTGTAAAATTATATTCTATTAAACCAGGGGTTCCCAACCTCTGAGCTGTGGCCCACTACCGGGCCATGGCCTATTTGGAACCAGGCCCCACAAGTGGCGGGCTGGCAGGCCTGCGTGCACCCGCAACTCAGCTTGTTTGAGTGGCGGGCCAGTGTGTGGGCACAGCTCAACTTGCACATGTGAGCTAGCCCAACTTAAGCTGCGCACACATGCGTGTGAGCACACCAGCCCACTGTTCATGTGACCTGGTTCCCCTGTCCCCCCCATGGCCACCAAGCTGCAAAGGTTGGGAACTGCTGTATTAGACAATTTCAAAAAGTGATAATTTGGCAGATACCAATTTTGCTTCAGAAAAATAACCATATCAGTACTAAAAATGAAGGTTTTTCTACTCAACAAAAGAAAAGATATTACAATTTAGTAAAAGAATTTGAAATTTCCCTTGTCCTTTATAGTTAGAATCATGTAATTTATAAATTAGCCTAATGCTACACAGAAATAATTTTAAAACAAAGCAACCCCCACGCACACATATCTCAAAACAGTATGAAATCTAAAGTGAAAATGAGTGACAGGTTCTAGCCCATTAATAATGGCTTACCTTGGCTATCTGAACACACCAGTTCAGCAAAACCTGGGAACCAATGTTATCTTTGTGTTCATGTACATAGTCTAGTAAACAACCATGGGGCATCAGCTGAGTAACTAGTTGAATGGTGGGGCTCAGACAGACTCCTAGTAACCGAACCAAATGTGGATGGTCCATACTTGCCATTATAAGTGCTTCCTAAAAGAAAAAGAAAAAAATTAAGTTATAGCTCAGTGTTCTAACACAAAGGATATTTTCTGCTTCCAGTTAAATACAGAATCGCTAAATAAGAAATTCAGGAAAGTCCATTTTCTCCCCTGTGAACCAGCACATTCTTTTAAGATCTTCAGCTTATAGCAATGCTCAGATTATTATCTGATAATAGTGTCTATTCTGCTGATGCTAACCTGATTATAGAATATTGTTCCCAGAGATACTTGCCTTCCCCTTTTTTTAGTACCTTTTATTCTCTTAATCATTTCATGGATGATTAATTTAATTTCTTTCTTTGAGTTATATTGCTAATGTTTTTGTAATGTGATTTTTAATAGTTTGTTCTTTTTTGTATTATTTAAGGATATGTGGATTAGTTTAAGTCCCAAACTACCACTGTTGCATATCATTCCTTCCATCTATTTTCTCAGAATTTTTTAAAAAGAAAATCTTCATATGGTTTTGTAGAAAACCTTGCTGAATAGACACCGTTTTAATGGAATTTCCTCAGAGAAAGCAGTTTTCAGCAAAACTATTTCTTGCTTGCTTGTTGAATGTATAAGTCACCTCAATCCTCCAACCAACTCCAAGCAGTATATAGCATTATTAAAACAATAAAACAAGTAATAAACAACAATATAGTACTAGATTTGGGGGGGCACATCAATAAGAAATAAAATCCCAGTATCAGTACACGATAACCCTGCCTCAAGGCTTGCTGAAAGAGCTACATTTTTAGGTGGGTTTATCTGAGAGGGCAAGGATGGCCACAGAAAAGTCATCTCTCCAAGGTCCCATAATCTATAGTTTCAAATCTATTCATGTTTTTATCCAATTGCAAAAAAATGTATTTGACAAGAAACCAAAACATATAAACTCCTAGGTACAATCCGATTTAGAAGCACAACTTGGATGCTTTGGCATTTTGATTAGTTACACAATTTCCTTTTAAAGAACTCTATGGGGATTTTTCTTCCTGCTTGAAGGAGAAAGGACTATGTACAACATTAACTGCAATCCCGTGATATCTTAATTTAACTTTACTGAATTTTTTTAAAAAAATCTCATCTATTATTGTTCCTTCACCTCCAAGGCACAGATATAGCAGGATATTCTGCATTTTGCAATGGCTATAACAGCACAGAAATGTCACAAACTGGCACTAGGATCTACATTTGAATTCACTGATTAACAGATTGGGTAAATATTCAGTTTGCAGATCTGAAGGATTCAGATAATTCTGCAGATCAAAACAAAACTTATTTGACTGCATAAAAAGCTTAGATAATATGTTTAAAAGAACACCTAAAAGAAATGGATGAACAATAAAGATAGATAGCCCAGGACTCCACAGATGAGCTGTGACCCCATGCGTAAGCTGGCAGGAATAGCCAACACCCCAGAAGACAAGCTCAGGAACCAAAAAGATCTTGACTAACTTAAACAATGGGCCCTATCCAACAAAATGAAATTTAATGCAGAAAAAAGCAAGGTTTTACACTTGGACAGGAAAAACCAAAGATAAAAGTACAGAAACCTGGCTCAAAAACAGTAACTGTGAGAGGAAGCTTGGAGTCCTAGTGGACCTTACTTAAATATGAGCCAGCAGTGTGTGGCAGCAGCCAAAAAAGCTAATACAATGCTTGGTTATATCAACAGAGGCATAGAATCAAAATCACATGAAGTATTAATACCGCTTCACACCTGGAATACTGCATCCAGTTTTGGTCACATTACAAAAAAGATGTTGAGACTTTGGAAAAAGTACAAACAAGAGCAACTAAGATGATTAAAGGCCTGGAGACTAAAACATATGAAGAATGGTTGCAGGATTTGGGTTTAGCTAGTCTAGAGAAAAGAATGACTGGCGGGGGGCATGATAACAGTATTCCAGTATTTGAGAGGTTACCACAAAGAGAATGAGGTCAATTTATTTTTCAAAACACCAGAGGGCAAGACAAGAAACAATGGATGGAAACGAATCAAGGAGAGAAGCAATCTGCAATTAAGGAGAAAGTTTTTAACACTGAGGACAATTAACCAGTGGAACAGCTTGCCATCAGAAATTGTGGATATCTCATCACTAGAGGTTTTTAAGAAGAGACTGGACAGTCATTTGTTTGAAATGCTATATGCTCTCCTGCTTGAACAGCAAGCTGGACTAGAAGACTCGAAGATCCCTTCCAGCTCTGAATCATTCAGATGAAGTCACAAAAGTAAATGTTTGGAATAAGTTGAGATCAGTAAAGAAGAATAAGAATGGCATCTTTAGGTTTGTTCAAAATAAAAGGGGAAAATAGAAATGGTAATATCAAATAAAAATCAGAGCTATCCCACTCTTACTTTAGTTCAGTCTTTTCTAATAAAATTTATAGGTTAAGAGTAAAGAGAGAACAGAAAAACAGGACTACCTACTTTGAGAATTGTTTTCAACTTACAACCATAACTGGACCTGGAATTACAGTCGTTGACAAATCATGTCAGTCATTAAGCAGGTCAACGTGTAGCTGTGCAAAATTTTCTGAACTTTTTTGTGGCATTTGTTCAGTGAACCACGGTGGTCATTAAACAAATCCATTGTCCACAATAGATTTTTTTCCAGAAACCAGAAATAAATACTGGTTTCTGGCAAAAATATTGTAAATTACAATGACCATGGGAACATAGGATGCTGCAAATGGCCATAAATGGTTGCCAAGCATCCAAAATGAGATCATGCGTGTTGTGAACTAAAGAAATGTATTTAATAAAGATTCATTTGCATAGCAGGATCGTAATCCTGCACTTCCTATTGGCCCATATAATGGCAAGTTATGATTGGTTCATTCCGAGCAATCTGATTGGCTGTTGGCGGGCCGCGCCAAGGTTCAAACGCTATAACGCTATCCATTGGTTATCCGGATAGCAGCTTACTCTATAAAAGAGTGACTGCTAGCCGGGTTTTTTTTTGTCTCTGTTATGCTTGTGAATAAAGAGCTGAAGTTCACGGTTTACAGTCTGGTCTCCGTTCATTAACCCATGCCTCAAACTTAACAATGCAACTGAGGGATGGTGGTGCAAAACTTCAAATCTGCATTGCAAGTATCCCTGGGGATGTCTGTTGTGATTTCAAATGATTGCCAAGTGACCTGTCATAATTTAAGGACTTCATGTATTCAATATATCTTGATTTCAGCAAAGCATATGACAAGGTACTCCAAAATATACTGCCTAACTAGTGTGTGCTAGATGGCATCATGATTAAATAAATACATAGCTGGATTGAAAATTGTACTGAGAGAGAGTTAAAAAAAATAGAGAAAGATCAAATGGATGTAACAAGGGTCAGTCCTGGGCCACCCTATTCATTAATGATTGGGATAAAGTGTTTGAAGGAATACTAAACAAAGCTGTATATGATACAACAGTTATGAAACAAAAATCAATGCACAGGTATAGGTGGGGAATATCTGGCTTGAAAAAAAAAACTGGAATAGAAGTTGATTATCAATTCAATATAAGTCCTACTACTGCTACACAAAAGGCACATTTAATTCTAGACTGCACCAGCCAAAGTATAGTTTTCAATTTACAGGAAGTAATCATTCCTTTACATTTTATCTGTCAGATCCTACTTCCAGAACCTTGCCCTACTGTAGGCTTTATGACTTAAAAAAGAATTCAGCGAAGTTCCACAAAGGATCAACAAAGATAGTTGCGGATTAGAAAGTAAACCTATGAAGTTTTATTTATACACCTCATATGATGTCAGATAAAAAGATGAGACTTATTCTTTCATTCCAGTGTGTAGGACATGACATGGTGGATTTAAGAAACAGATTCCAACTGAATGTTAGAAAAAAAATTCATAAGAGTTAGAACAGTTTGACAATGAAACCAATTATCCAGAGAGGATAGCAATAGTCAATGACAATAAAGACAGATTTTCTTTAGACATGACAAAGAAATGAAAGATGAAAAGCAAAAGAAAATATAACTAAAATTAAATAAAATCAACTTGATTAACCAAATTGAATCATTGATTAGAATAGGATCAGATTTAATTCCCATAGATCTACAAATGACTATTTCTAATATTTATACTATATTATAAAGGGGTAGAAAGTAAGTATTCCGCTATAAGAAAGGAACTGTGAAGTGACTTTATTTCATATGAACATCTCAAAGCTTGATTCACTAAGCATAAACATATTTAACAATAACCACTCCAAAATTATAATCATCTTAACCACCATCATAAACACAAGACGGAAGGGTAGAAGGGAACAGGAAAAAAATTACGGGGTGTGGTAATAGAGGCAGTTGAATTAAAATTACACAAAATTGCTCATCCAAGTACAAAGAGGATTCAAAACAAAATTGCTGAATATTTGCATAATAGTTGCTTTATATATAAAAAAAGTAGATGAACAAGACACTAATTATAAGGAGGGAGATATAACAGATGTCTTAACCTTTTATTTTTTGAAATCTTGTAAAGCTTTTCATGGTTTTGGAGGGGTAGATTACGATCTAAGTGTAACTAATGGCAAAGAATGAGTAGGGCGATGAGGAGTAGAAGCAGACAGAACACAGATCCATTAAAACCATTTTTTCTGTGTTAAAATTAATATTCCATTCTTTCATCAATCCTATATGAGGTCAAGAAGAAATATTGGCATCTCTTTATTAGCATCTTTTTCCATCCTACCACACGTTAATAATGGAATGAGTATTTCTGTTTTAAATTGCCGGTCTCTTACCTGTGTAGACCAATGAGACTATAGAGATGGAGAAGAGTTCTTCAACCTTCCATCTGTGAGCAAAATGAACCCTGCCATTCTCTCACTTTTAGCCAAAGATGAAATAACAGCTGCTCCTGGAGGGCTACTTTGGGGGTTGCCTTTCCCCCCCTCTAGTCTAGTGCCTTATAATGTGTGTGTGTGTGTGTCCTTTTAACTATTATTAACATTGATCAGATTTTATTAAACCAGACTGCTTTTTCC